CGTACCTTCTTAAAGTAGGAAAATTTTTCAATTCGTAGTTTTCAGACAGAATTTTTTTTTGTTTTTTGTATCGTATTCCTTTTATTTCAGGAATTGTTTTCAGATTTTATAATAGCTTTAACGTTAATCATAAGTTATTTTACCTTTCTTACTCTGTAAGGTGATTTCCATGATAAGCATTCCCAGAATAGCATTATTCAAGATAATATTACAGGAAAGCATACAACCTCAAAAAAAGACAAAAAATTCTATTTTTATTTTAATTATAAGTATATTGAGAGCGAGAGAGAGAACATATTTTCTTGCATCTCTCTCGCACTCGCACGGGCTTATGGCGATCTGATCTGAACCTGCAAGTGCAAGTCTCTCATGTACAGGCTCCCTTAGAGGATGTCTCCGTCCCAGTCCGTTCGTACTCCTTGTCTCCTCAAGTTCGGACTGTCCAATAATTCACACGCCTTAATGCATTTCTCCACATGATCTCGCCCTAAGGATATGTGGCGGTAAAACCGTCAAGGTTTTGAAACTTTGCTATCTACCGACATAATCAGTTTATTTTGCGATTTTTTTAAGAAACTGCTGGTTACTCTTCCAATTGTCTATTAACTGCTTAAGATTCTCATTAATAAATAAATTTTTCAGTTATTGTTGAAATTCAAAAAATTACCTAAAACTTTTTTTTATTCCTTTATGAAACGTACAAAATAAATTAATAGTGGGCATATGGATCCTTCTATTATTTACTAAGAAGTTACTGTTATACTTTTAAAGTACATACAAACTTGGAAAATAAGAATTGAGCATTTTTACTGTTGGTGTAATGATAATGGGTAACATGTACTTCTCACCGAATTATAACGGAATATTGTAATATATTTTATTCATATACATAAAATTTTTGCAATAAATGGCTGAAGTCAAAGATTATTTGCTAAATGACTCGTATTTNACTCTACCGTTGAGGCGAAATAATAGTTTTATTAGATTCTCGCAGGACGTACTACATTTTATTTTTTTTACAAAAAAATAATACTCTGACAATTTTTTGCATGGCAATTGCAAAACCTGCAAACGATTCCGCAATTTTTGGTATTTTTTTTTTTTTGCTGGATGCAAGTCGTTCGCACAGTTCACTGCCGCGCAAACACACTACACACTTCGAGTGGGGGTATACTGAGGGTGTGGGAAATTGCTGCAGAGGGGGTCGAGGGTCAAGGGTTGAGTGGAGTTGTGGTGTGTGGAAAAGGGTGGAAACGAACATGGTCGTCTTCAAGGTCGTCCGTCCATAAACATAATAAATAAAGTTAGCCGTAGATTTCACACGGCACAAAAAATTTTTGAACTTTTATTCTTAATTATCATCTAAGTATACATTATATACATATTTAAGTGCGCTGAAGTAAAAACATGACAGCGAGAAACAATATACACTTCGTGGAGTTCACTAAAAATTAATTTGTAAAAGCACAATGGTACCAAGTTCATATCAATCTTTTTTTTTTTTTTTTTTTCTAACAAGTGATTGAAAGTCGAACAAATTGCAAGCAAACGGGAGCAGAAACGGTCCTTAATTAGCTTGATAATGAAGAAATTAAAAAATTGCAAATCTAATAAAAAAAAATTAACACCTCAAGATCAAGTTCAGAAAGAAAGTCTCACGAAACCACTTCCAGTATGTTCTTTCGTGAAAAAAAAAGAACAAGCCAAGGTAAAGCTTGGTGGTAAAAAAAAGGTTGAAAAAAGTTTTAAAATATCACGAGAATCTAGTCATAGTTCTAATGATTCTATTAAAGTAATGGGAAATCAAAATGACTCGATTGTAGTTGAAGTAATAAACTGTGATGAAAATGACAAAGTTATATTTTCGGACGATTCACCCACTAGGTTGATATAAAATATTTAATATTTAACTGATAAAAAAACTCATAAAATACGTAACATAATTAATTAAATTTTTTTAGCATAGACGACTCGAGTACTTATCTTAAAGACGTATTAATAGTAGAAAGTATTCGGTGTGACGAGGATGCTGAAGATGATGAGGCAAATGCTGAATTTAACGATCCAGATATAATTCCTACAAACGTGCCAAATAACGAGTGTGACAAGGAAAGTGATGATGTTGCAGAGATAACTGATAATGTTATTTCGCTAAATGATGATATGGAAATTGAAGCTTTAATTGAAAGTAATTATTTCACTTAAATTTAACATTATAAATTACAATGATTACTTAAACTTTGCTGCTTTACAGATCAGACGCATGATAAAACAAAAAAAAACTACAAAAAGACTGACAAGGAACAGTGTGCAATGATTGATGGATTTCTTTCAAGATTGAGCGAAGGCTTGATGAGACTACCCTACAAGCAAAGAGCCAAATTAGAAATCGAATACCTTCAACGTCTGTACGAAGTGCAAGATAATTTAGGTATATTCGATGCCTAAAATTTATTGTAACTGTCTCATGAATATGAACAATTTTCATAACGTGTTTATTTTTATAACACAACGAAAAACGTCAAGTATCTTACCGTCTCTGCGTATATATTAATATTTTTTACTTATACACAAACTTTGTAAACTGAAGAACGAAATGCAATAAAATTTTTAAGTTACAAAATAGCATTTTAAATAATAAATAAGTGAACTTTGCTCCGTTTTCAAGAAAACGGAGTAATGTTTGAAATAGCCGCAAAAACCGGCGTTGTAATCAATCTGCAGTTGGTAGAACAGAGCAATTATGGAAAAGAGCGCCAGAATTTTCACATTTGTTTTCGGCTGTCGGCTGCAGCAGACTGCAGAGGTATTTAAATATAGTTATTTGTTGAAAACGTGTTTTGGTGATTTGTTGTGCAAAATGTCGCTTTGGGTTGACAAGTATCGTCCCACTAGTCTTGCGAAATTAGATTATCATACAGAGCAAGCAGATCGATTGAAAAATATGGTAAGTAAGTTCAATTCTTCCAACTGTTGATTCAAGTTGACAAGGTTAAGTTTCACGCGGAAAAGGGACGATTAAGACACACAACAACAATGCATTTGGAGTATTGAATACTTATATATTTTCAATACAGGTTCAGCAGGGCGATTTTCCACATCTGTTGGTTTATGGACCACCAGGAGCTGGTAAAAAAACGAGGATCATGTGCATTCTCAAGGAACTTTATGGCAATGGCGTTGAAAGGTTGAGAATGGAGCCCATGCAGTTTGAGGTACTTTAGATTGTTTGTATTGTTTTGTGTTTTATCTACAAGCTTAAATACTTCCTTATTTTTTAATTGTCGTTGCAGACTCCGTCAAAGAAGAAACTTGAAATCATGACTGTCAGTAGCAATTATCACATTGAAGTAAATCCTAATGATGTTGGTATTTATGACAGAGTAGTTATAATGGATCTTGTAAAAACTACAGCTCAAACTCACCAAATCGACCCAAATGGTCAAAGAGAGTTCAAAGGTAAGCTTGAGTTTATTAACATTAAAACAGGGAAGTATCAGAATATTTCGTTTGAAAACATAATTGACTAGAAACAATTTAAAAAAAAGCATAGCATCATCATTATATAGAAAATACTACCATACATACTTAAAAACAACAGGGTAGAATTATGTTACAAGCTTGAATAATAACATGTGTCAACATTGTAAATTATTTTTATATATAAATATTTTACAATTATTTAAACTGATTTTATTGTAAATATTACAACTTTCAACAATGTTTGTGGGAGGAAAAAAGCCGGAATTACAAGTACATAAAAGTTGCAGTGTTTACAATTTGTTAATTTTTTCTAAAAAGTAAGTTTTTTATGGTTTATTGGTGGGTCGATTTAATTAAACAAGTATATCTAAACGTGTAATTTGAACTGACCAACCGACCGACTAATCGCAAAAAAACGTACTCAATATATTTTCTCTGCCAATTAGAAGATAAAAAAGAAAAAATAAAACTGTAGTATTTTGAATTTAAATGCAAAGTAAAAATAAGCTTCAATGCACTTTTCCAAGTACTACCCAGTGATAGGAAATAAATTCCTAGTAAATAATACCCACGAAAAATTCATGATATGTTATCAGAGTATCTGGTTCTAGATCCAACTTAGGTACACAAAAAAAACGCACACATATACACACACAACAAACTACTTATACGAATATACTTAATGTTTTACAGTGGTGCTATTGACAAATGTTGATCATTTGACAAAAGATGCGCAGCATGCACTTCGTCGTACAATGGAAAAGTATGTTGCTACTTGTAGGTTGATACTCTGTTCAAATTCTACTTCAAGAGTATTGCCTGCCATAAGATCAAGGTGTTTGGGCATTAGAGTTCCAGCTCCCACCATCAACGAAATTACAAATATCCTACATTCTGTGTCTAAAAAGGAGGGTCTTACTTTACCTGATGAACTTGCAGGGAAGATTGCAGAATCGAGTGGCAGAAATTTGCGAAGAGCTATTTTAATGTTAGAAGCTTGCAAAGTGGAACAGTAAGTGAATTCTTTTGGGTTGAAAATTTTTTTTGCACAAGTACACAAGCTAAGAAGCTAAAAAAAAATTTTTTTTTCAGGTATCCATTTACGGTAGATCAGAAAATTACTGAACCAGATTGGCAAGTTTACATAAAAAATATAGCAAAGCTCATGGTTACTGAGCAATCACCGAGAAAGTTATTGGAAATTAGAAATAAATTTTACGAGCTCTTGACCCATGCCATTCCAACAGATTTGATATTCAAAGTACTGTTACAAGAAGTCACAAAGAAATGCGACCTGCAGCTAAAAATTCAAATAGCAACCGTTGCAGCAGAGTATGAACATAGAATGCATCAAGGATCAAAAGTTATATTTCATTTGGAAGCATTCGCAGCAAGGTTTATGGCTATATACAAGAAATTTATGGATGCATCTTTGGCTGGATTTGTTTGAAAATTTGATGAAAATGTTTCGCAATTGCAAACTTTTTCTAGTATTAAATTATTGTATTTTTATTGTTACATAAGTTTTCATAATATATGTTCTTTTATACAATATAGAATATACACTTGGATAATTTATAATTTAAATTCAACAGCATTATTTTTATACACCAACTCAATGTTCATGTATAATCAAAAAGAGATTTCTTTAAATTTTGAAGCCAATATTAATCTATGCAAGTCAGGTAAAAACTTGAATTACATCATCTTCTGTTACGTGCGATGTTAAAAATATTCTTCATACAAATGCAGTAAATCACGTACAATTAAGAAATAAACAATTTGCAACTAATTTCTACATTTCATGAATCGATATAAATAACGGACAGTAACTTTTTAAGAACTTTTCTCAAGCATATATTTCGATCTTTTTTTTTTTTAACTTTCGCTATATGCAAGGCCTTACAGAGGGTAAAAAAAAACTCTTTTAGTTGTAAATCTGCGCAATTTTGGGATTTGTATACTTTTAGGTAAGTGTTCCGAGGGCTAGGAACTAGGATTCGATCCCTGCTCCATGCACTCGCGGCAGCTCTATCCCTCTATGGGGTGTTTTTTTCTTCACATGTTCCATTATATAACTATCTGTGATAGCTATCTCTGGTGATAGTACGTGATAGCTCTTGGCTCTGCGGTGTTTACCCTGCCGTCGCAGTCATGCAGTATTGAAAAACGGTACCCAAAATTAAATGCTCAAAAACAAGTAAGTACCTACACATGCCAGTTGGTATGTTGGTAATGTAACTTCGTAACGTGTACACTGCGAAACTGGCGAAGAGAAAACGCGCCGGCCCGGTGCAGCTATATTTATGCTCATGAATATCATGCAGTTGGCACCAGTTTGCTTATAGTGCAGATCTGGTTCTGGTGCAGACTGCCGAACCGAACCAAAGCGGGGTTAGAACGAACATATTTGAAAGAATTGACGAATCTCCTTTCGTCGTATACCTCTACCTACATACTTATATGAAATAAAGAAAATTTGACTCTCCAACTCTCTTCGACTTGTAAGTAAGTATACATATTTGTTTGCTTTGGTGAGTTTCTAGTTTCTACTGCAAAAAGTAAAAAATATGTACTACTTATTAAGTCACAATATACAGTATACCTACTTACAATCGCAATTGATTTCATAATTGATAATACAATAATAAGGCCTCCGGAAGTTTTTTAAAAAACGTAATTGAAATAATATCTACTACAAAAAAAATTTATAAGGCTAATATTTATCGATTTCTTACGGTCATAATTTACAATTTACATCTTGTTTTCAGAAGAGTCAAGAAAAAATGGACGATTTACCTTGCAAGAAGCATGAATTAACTTGCCAGTTCACTTTAGTAAGGGATGATAACATTCAACCTATTAGAACGAAGTATCGTGAACTTAAAAAACCGTCACCATCAAAGTGGAAGACATGGGCTTCATTACAAAATATTATAGTTACGAATATCGAACAAAAATTTGACTTAATAATGAAAACTTATCATATACAAAAGTATATTGAACCTTTTTATGATTCTGATTCTGAACATTATCATCTTCCTCAAGAATATGACGTAAAATTTGAAATTCCACAAAAAAATTTTTATACTTTGTTTGATTTTCAACTCGTCGTAAATTTCAACAATACCGATCATAATGCCTCACGTTTTATACTTCATGATATAAGTGGCACATGGATTTCAGAAACCATCCGTATTAAAGATATTGATTATATATTTAGCCTATCAAAATTTGATGTTAGTATTCAAATGTTTTTTAAACATCGAAGGATGGACACACTGATGAAAGATATCTTGAGACTACATACAAGCGAAAAGCATTCAGATTTCAAAATCATTGCTAAAAATCATGTCTTTAACGTACATAAATTTATTCTGTGTGCTCGAAGTGATTATTTTAGTAATATGTTAAGTTCTGAAATGAAAGAAAAAAACTCAGGTGAAGTAAAATTTGACGAATGGGATGCTAATGTTGTGAGAGAGTTACTAAATTACATGTATAGTGATATCTGTGATGTAAAAAATGTTGCTCATAATTTGTTCAAACTATCTCATTTAATGCAGATGACAGATTTACAAAGTATTTGTCTGAAATATTTAGAGTTAAATATCAATGAGCAAAATGTAGTATCAACTTTGAGACTTGTTAATGAAGATAAATATGAACTACAGGAATTGCAAAAGAAAGCTCAAGATTTTGTTGATGCAGAGTTGTCAAGTTTGATGGAATGCTCAGATTTCTTAGATTATTTGGCAGATATTATTTCACTGGATAATATATCATTTGTTCTGAAGACATCTCATAATTATAAAAAAGATGACATATTTTTTAAAGCCATGAAGTTTCTTAAATGCGACCCCAAAAGTGTTTTACAAAATGATAAATTCGAACAAATGGCTTTGTTGGAACCTAAACTACTGTTTAGAATAACTAAATTATTATTTGATTAAAATGTTTCCTTTGTTCAGCCAAGCTATTAAACGTAACATAGACAAAAAATTGTCATCATAATGTATTTTTCACTCAAAATAAATACGAAGATTTAATAATATTTTCTACATTTTTTTTTGTTACCTTTCTTTTGAAAATTATAACACTTTACACTACATAATATAATTACGTACTCTACTTTTAAACCCTTCAAGTAATGATATTGACAACCAGTGTAGTTAATTTTTTTTTTCTGTAAATATTCCATTCTGTCCTATATCTTCCATTAAAAATATAAACAGATACACTGATGTAGTATCTGCACAAGTCTCATGATTGAAAATCCAAATAATAACATTATTCAGCCCAGAAGAAGTTTCGCTAATCCATTGTTGTTTAGATAAAAAAAACCTTGTGTATTACAAAAAAAAATCTCTATCACGTCATATCAATTAAAAAATACAATAATTGTGCAAAGCATCCATTACAGTGAAACCGAGATGTCCGGCTCGTACCTAAATAGTTGCTGAATTGCATGTGTAAACATAAACTTTAAGATGACTTAATTAATTGGTATTCTTGGCATAAAAACGTATAATTAATTTTATACTAACAAAAAGTTGTAGAATAATGACACGATGTTACAATCTTAATTAAAAGGGAATTTTGTTTAGTAGCATTATTGTTTTAATTTAAATATAATATGTTTTCATCTAACTGACTTTTAATTTAGGGTAAAATTTACTGTCTTTTAATTCGAGGTTTAAAGAAAAGTGTTGGTCTGAAAACCAATATTTTTATTTAAATTCACGTAACATGGTTTGTTTTGTTTATATTTATACTTTTCTAGAGAAAGAGCAATACTTGTTATGAATATTTAAATATAAATGTTTATTATTTCTTGAAACAATAAACAACATTCACAGTTGACTTGGGCACATTTTGGCTGTATGCTAGATTACAGTATCGCTGGGCGATAAAATGGCAGCAACTTTCATCACATGTGCCTTTACTCAACTTTAAAGTTGGTATTCTTGGGTATTTTGATTTTTGATACCCTTTTGATGCCTTTGTTTCGAAAACGAATCTCTTTCTTGCTATCTCTCTCTTTTCGGTCCATCCGTTACGACTTACGACAATTAGGGTGCGTTTAGATGGAGTCTATACCAGACAACCAGACTCTGGCATTGAAGATTTGAAGCTTATAAGGGAGAGAGCCGGCTGGTCCTAGAAGTTCGAGTGGTTCTAGACTCCATGTATACGCACCCTAACAACTTGTATCTCGTATTCAAAATTGTGGCATGCAAACTTGCAAAACAAATAAATCCGAGTCGCAGTATACCTAAGTACCTCCACCGTAGACTAGGTATTTATCCTGCATCCTGCAGTATCATCCTGGCACGTCTACTACGTTATTTTTATGCAATAAAAGTAAGTACGTAAGTATACGTATTACATACGTTGGGTACATGCATGCTTCGTTTCATTAATTTCTACTCGACTTTTTTTTCCATTATCTGCTGTTATGGTCAATTAATGATTTATGTATGTTCCTATGGCTTACAGTCGATTAAATTCATAAATAAGTTAACGTTTTAGTTACTATAGCCATGTAAAAACTTCAAGATCTCCGAGTTGACATTCAGCAGCAAGAAGTTTGCTTATTACTTAATGAGCACCAGGTATCTACAAAAATTTCTAACAACTGTTCAATAAGGCCAAAAGTGAATACAACGTAAGTACATTGTGTTTCTCCGATAATGACAAAACGTGTAGAATGAGTCTTCAATAATAAAATATATTTTTTGCAAAAAAAAAAAAAAAAAAAATTTACAGTATTAAATACCATGGGAGGACGTGAAGATTTTTTATGCATCGATATTAATTTTGAAGTACCCTCTGGTCAGACCAAATCTTTAGTAGTAAATAATAAGCAGTGTTCTTTATACATTCATTCAATTTATAAGAGGACTGAATCTGGTATACGATATTATATGACAAATTTTTGTGTTAGAAGTTACTCTGCATTATCCACAGACTCAATTTTGATTATTAAATTTGAGTCTGAGTATTGTAGAATGCACCCTGATGGTAATCAATTCAAAGCTCAATTATTATCCGAAACTACTGCTGCTCAACGTTATTCTGCTAGCCTGGTATATAAAATACCAATCTTTAATCCAAGTTCTTTAATTGCAAGCATGAAAAAAATACTTGAAGATAAAATTTATCATGATTCAGTTATCATTGTTAAGGATGGTTGCTTTACTGCACATAAAGCAATACTTGGAGCTAGAAGTGATGTAATGAAAACGATTATTGAACAAAATATGATTGAAATAAAAAGGAGTTCGGTTGAACTACTTAATTATGATGCCTGTACTGTTAAAGAGCTGTTGTATTTCATTTATACCAATGAGTGCGAAGTTGGAACTGATCCTATAAATCTATTCAAACTCGCTCATTATTTAAATATCAAAGATTTACAGGATGTGTGTAAAAAATATTTGATATCAAACGTAAAAAAAGAAAATGTTATCGAAATTTGTGAACTTACAAGTGTGGATCAATATAATCTCCAGGATTTAAAAATAGTTGCTGGACAGTTTATTCAAAAGAACAAAGACATTTTAGTAAACCACCAAAGTAGAGAGTTTTTTGTGAAAAATCCACACTTATTACTAGACATGTTGGTTATTTAATAACAAATTACAGTTAATGTAAAAATGTGTTAAAAATGTAATAAATGCTTATTTAATTACGAACTTTCTTTGAAACATAAGTCTAATCAGTAAAATTTTGTGATTATATGCATTTGTATCTCATTTATTTGAAACCCACTATCTTGTTTGAACCTATTTACGACATTTGTTAATCGATGAATAATTGATATCAATAAAGAGTTAAAAACTATTTGTAGTTAAAATTTTCAATATAATATCTACAAGTATCAGAATCTAAAAATTTTTATCAAAAAGTATCCAAGTAGAACCAAGTTGTAATTATTCAATTTTGTACATAATAAAAATAATAAAGGCCAACTATATCAGCAGTCCACGTAAAAGCAAAAGTTATTTGTGATTAAAAATGTTCTCCATTGACAAGTAGATCAAGGTGATAGTGAAATTCGTCCTTTGAAATATTCCGAACCAGTCCTATTACGAAAGTGAAAGAGCCAATGTAGACGTACCTGAGTTCTGGGATTCTCCGAATTTTAGTGCTCGTCGATGTCAAAAGAAATTAGACTCAACAAAATGCACAGGAGGTATTCTTCATACTTTGAATCCAATTTTTTAATCTTTTTTTCCAGGAAATGAAAATGTTATTACAGGTAAAAAAATTATTTAAAAAAAAAAATAATTACAGAATAAAATTTTTTTTTTATTGTCCTAAAAATACATTATAATGACAAGTAGCACACTATCGTTATTTGTAACATTCTTAAGCAAAAAAATTTTCATCTAATAATACTTCAAATATTCTGTACTGCAGTTCAGGGTTTGACAAGGCCATCTGTTTAAATTTATCATTTTTTAAAATGTTTTTATGGTCATTTTTGAGGAATTTCATCGCCTCATCAAATAAAAAATCTTTTTTATATTGATGAGATACCTTTAGAATAAATAAAATATTGTTCAGTGAAATAGTATCAACCATGTAGTTTAAGAAATCTGAACGTTCCATCAAATTTGACAACTCTGCATCAACAAAATCTTGAGCTTTCTTTTGCAATTTTTCTAGTTCATATTTATTTTCATCAAAAAGTTTTAAAATTGATACAATGGTTTGCATATTTATGTGTGATTCCAAATAATTTAAACACAAAGTTTGTAGCTCAGTTATTTGCAATAGATGCGATAATTTGTATAAATTGTGAGAAATTTCATTCATATTACAAGTATTACCATACATATAATTTAAAAACTCTTTTACAACGTTCGCATCCCATTCTTTAAGTTTTATTTCATTTAAATTTGTTTCTCGCATATCAGAACTCAGCATTTTATTAAAAACATCACTTCGGGCACATAAAATAAATTTATGTACATTAAAAACATGACCTTTAGCAACAACTCTCAGGTCCGAGTGTTCTTGAGTTAAATAAAATCTTTGGATATCCCTTACTAATGAATTTACGGCCTTTTTCTTATAAAATATTTTAATTGGTAATGACAATCTTTTTGTTGACCCAAATATATCAGTTGTCAGTTTACACCCAACTTTGAGCATATTAGATTTGAACTTATCATCACCAACGTATTTTAATATAAATTCATACCTATCATTTGAGCCCAAGTCCATTAGCAGTTTAATATCATGTATGTAGGGTAACGAAAATGAAAATGATTTTTTTCCGAGTGGAAGTTCAAACTCTACATTACAATTTTTCGGGTCACCTATATATTGATAGGAAAAAGGCAAATAAGCTTCCGAATCTTTCAACGAGGTAAAAGCATGCATCTTCAAGGAGAATTGCTTTTGTAAACCATCAATAGTGACTGTATTCTGTGATGAATATAAAAAGTCCCAAGACTTTTTTACTGTAATTGTTTGTCTTACAACGTTCAAAGTTGCAATCAAATTCAAGCAATTCGTTGATGAAACTTTTCATTTTTTATAAGATGTCTGAAAACTGAATTTAAAATTGTTTATTTCTATTCAGACTATTTTTTTTTTTTTTTTTTTTTTTTTTTTTTTTTTTTTTTTTTTTTTTTTTTTTTTTTTTTTTTTTTTTTTTTTTTTTTTTTTTTT